CCTTCATCCAAGAATGCCACTGGCCAAATTTCATAACCCTAGGCCTCGTTAGTTATTCAGAGGAAGTTGTTTAAAGGTTTTAAAACATATTTGACCCCTGTGACCTTGAATATAAGTCGAGGTAATTCAATCGAACAAACTTAGTAACCCTTCATCACAGCATGATACTGGCCAAATATCATCGTTCTAGGACTTGTGGTTATTGAGAAGAAGTTGTTTAAATGTTTTTAACATATTTGACCCCTGTGACCTTGAATATAATTAAAGGTCATTCATTTGAACAAACTATGTAGACCTTCATCCCAGCATGCTACTTGCCAAATATTATCATCCTAGGCCTCTTTGTTATTCAGAAAAAGTTGTTTAAAGGTTTTTAACATATTTGACCCCTGTGACTTTAAATATTTGCCAAATGCATTCATTTGAACAAAAATGGTAGCCCTTTATCACAGCATGCTATTGGCCAAATATCATTATCCTAGGACTTGTGGTTATTGAGAAGAAGTTATTTAAATGTTTTAAAGATATTTCATCATTGTGACCTTGAATATCAGTCAAGGTGATTCAATTGAACAAACTTGGTAGGCCTTCATTACATCATGCTACTGGCCAAATAGCATCATCCTAGGCCTTTGGTTATTGAGAAGAAGTTGTTTAAAGGTTTTTAACATATTTGACCAATGTGACCTTGAATATAAATAAAGGTCATTCATTTGAAAAAATTTGGTAGCCCTTCGTCCCAGCATGTAACTTGCCAAATATCATTATCCTAGGCCTCTTAGTTATTCAAAAGAAGTTGTTTAAAGATTTTTTAAGACAATTGACCACTGTGACCTTGAAAATGGATGAAGGTCATTCAATTGAACAAACTTGGTAGCCCTTCATCCCAGCATGCTACTGGCCAAATATCATCACCCTGGGCGTTTTGGTTATTTAGAAGGAGTTGTTTAAAGGTTTTTAACATATTTGACCCCTGTGACCTTGAAAATAAGTGAAGTCATTTATTTGAACAAACTTTGTAGCCCTTCATCCCAGTTTGCTTCTGGCCAAATATCATCACCCTAGCACTTGCAGTTATTAAGAAGTTGTTTAAAGTAAAATATTGACGCCGGACGCCGCACCATGCCATAAGCTCACTTGGCCCTTTGGGCCAGGTGAGCTAAAAATTAATCAAATATTAGCGCTGGATTTCCAAACAAGGCAGTGGGACAGGAACGTCATACAAGGATTTCCAGCAGATACAAACACCTACACTACTCAAGCATAATCTATATACATGAAGTTATATATAGTAAGTGGAAACCTTGGATTTTAACGATGACAGTTATAATGATGGGAATCTGAATATGTCATCAATTAAAGCTATTCATTTCCAAATTATAATATTTCAAAATGTGTAGCTGACAGTTCGATTTTTAGGTTATTTACTATTATTGCATCAGAAGGAATAAACATCACAGAAAATGTATTTAAAATCTCAATACTTAAATGCAATGTTATTCCTGTTATTCCTTCGTAAACTGAAGAAGTGTGTGGGAACAAAAGAATTACCGCTCATAACTCCAAGTTTATAACAGGAAGTCATTTGTCCCCCTGCATTCTGTTTTGTTATACCTATTTTTGCCTAAAGTGAAAAAAATATAAAGCATACCAGTATGTTCTTTATAATACCATGAAAAGTCTGTACCATGCTTCACTATTAATAACCTTTTCTGAACTATAAAAATCAAATATTAAACGCTTAAATTTCTGAGTGTATGAGTACGCAACTTAATACTCACCTCCGTAATATATATCCAATTATAAGAATGATATAAAATGGCAAGAGCAAAACAGGTTGTATATATAAACAATGTACTATAAGCAATTTTCTTAACCAAATCAAACTTTAAGCATAGCAGAGACCATGCTGATGTACAAAATATCATAAAACTTTTAACTGCACACTAGTCACGATATCTTCATTAATAATTGTACAAAATAAGATTTAAACTTTAATAATCTAATCTAACAGATATATCCTCAATACAGCACATAGCTACCCTGTTATCAATGTATAATATCCATTACATCCAATATGTTATGAATACATTGTTTAACACCTAGCAGAGCTGGGAATGACTGTATGCTCCCCTTGTTTCAATTGTGACATCACAACTTCAAACCGTCACAGACTTCAACTGCATTGCAATGTCACACAATGAAAAAATCTTTAAGGCAAATTTATATCAAATTTACGATTTCAGGTTTGGCTGGGTAAATCATCACAAATTCATGACTTTTGTCATAAAACTCTGTGAGATGGAAATTAATATAAGATCCTCTATTTTACATAACAAGACATAGAATTTACCTGAACTACAAACAGAGATATTCATATTTACAAAATAAGACAAACTAAACCTTACTTACACATAGAGATATCCTGTTTTACACAATAAAACATCAATTTTCAGGTCTTTTCAGTAGGCCATTTGGAGTATGGTTTTGACCCAACAAATTAGCTTTTACTCCTAGGCTGAAAGTTCGTGTCTGTTTGACATGTATCTTGATCGTCTAACTTAAAGAAAAAAGGTTGACAACTTAAAATGCTAAATGGGAAAGTCAACTGAAGACCTCAACATTTTTTACATAATGTATCTCCATTTATACAATAATAATTTCAAACCCACCATCAATTATAAATGCTCCCAATGTTTTTTTATGTGTGGAATAGCCTCTACATATTTCTTTCCAATTAGACCATTTCTTTAATATTTCCCTTTATTTTGATAAAATGACCTGTTAGTGTTACTGGATTTCACATCATTGCAGACCAAACACAGTTTATTTCTAATCTAAACAGGGTACATGTGTACTTAAATGGAAAGTATATTGCTATTTTTGTTGATTTCTAAATCATTGCACTATTTTTCTTCTAAAAATTATTATGCAGTAAAAATGAAAAAACAGTATAGGATTACATAAAAGACAGTTGGAAAACAATTGTGTTTAATATTATGGTAATTTTTTGAAGATATTCATTGTTTGGAAATATGAACATATTTTATGTACCAGGTAATTTTTGGATGAGAAGTTTTTGCCTTAAAGATAAAAGTTTGTTTAGAGTATATCTACCATCTAGTGACATACTGACTTATGTACAGTGGGCAGTGAAAGCTAGAATTTCAAAATTTGCATTTGTGCCTATACAACATACCAAAGGAACTACCTAATGTATACATCTATATCTTTCTTGATTTACATTGGTTCTCAGAATGAGATTATCATGTTTTATGGAACAAAAATATGCAGTTTGTATAGATATAGCTACATATATTCAAATGTCAACATACAGTATTCAATATGAGATTACATGCAGGTTAGTCATGTAACATATTGGGTAATGTTTTCGGCATACATTCAAAACACACACATCAGCCCTAGAGTAATATTTCAAAATAAAGCTAAAATCATATTCTGGAAGAGCTTTCTTTGGATGATGGCCCTTGAATATCTGAAATATTAACGCATTACCAATGTAACAAACAAGCAAGCAAAATATTATTTAAGGTAAATGCAAAGAGACATACGCCTTATTGATCAATGATTTTTGAACAGTTCCTCAAACTTGTATTTACAAGTATTCTTATTTTTCATTTTTATTCAATTATTTTGAGTAGTTACTCCAAATTGAATGCAATTTAGTCGACGGATCATGGAAAAAATGTTGAACTGAGATTAAAATAAACAAGAGGCCAAAGGGCCTTAGCAGTCACCTGAGTTATATCATAGGTACTGGTAGCTTTATTTTATTGTTTAGATGTGATGTGGAAATCAGCATGTAAACTAAGTGAAATACAATACTTGTCATATCATCAAAGGATAAGAATTTGAAAATATTGGTAAATGTTCCCTTTGGGGCCCCGCCCTAGACCCTGGGGATGGGGCAGGAATCCCAATTTTACAAAGTTATACTCTCATTCACCAAAGATGATTCTGACTATAACTTTGAGTAATTTTCTGCTGAAAATGGATAAAATATATACCCAAAAGTGTTATTTCCCTATATAAACTATAGTAAACTTTACTCCCTCCCCAAGGGAGAACGGATAGCTCGGGGGTTCTGAAATTTACGATTTAAGTAAAGCTCCTGATGAGTGTAACACCTCTGAGTCTGGAGAAGAAGATTTTTGAAATATTGGTTAATTTTCCCTTTGGGGCCCCGCCGTTGCTCCAGGGGTTGGGATAGGAATCTCAATTTTTACAATTTGAAACCATCTTCCTTCAAGGATACTTCTCACTAGGTAAAAATAATTTCCTACAGAAAGTTGTCAAAATATACCCAAAAGTGTTATTTCCCTATATAAACTATAGTAAACTTTACTCCCTCCCAAAGGGTGATTGGATAACTCGGGGATCCTGAAATTAACATTTTAAGTAAAGCCCCTGATGATCTTTCTTTTCTCGTAGAGAAAATGACTGTAGTACCTCTGAGTCTGGAGAAGAAGATTTTTGAAATATTAGTAAATTTTTCCTTTGGGGCCCCGCCCTGGCCCCAGGGGTTGGGATAAGAATCTCAATTTTACAATTTAAAACCATCTTCCTCCAAGGATACTTCTCACTAAGTAAAAATAATTTCCTACAGAAAGTTGTCAAAATATACCCAAAAGTGTTATTTCCCTATATAAACTATAGTAAACTTTACCCCCTCCCCAAGGGAGAACGAATAGCTGGGGGGTCCTGAAATTTACAATTGAAGTAAAGCCCATGATGATCTTTCTTTCCATGCTGAGAAAATGAGTGTAGTACCTCTGAGTCTGAAGAAGAAGATTTTTGAAATATTGGTTAATTTTCCCTTTGGGGCCCCGCCCTGGCCCCAGGGGTTGGGGTAGCAATCCCAATTTTACAATTTTGTAGCCTCATCTACCAAAGATGATTCTGACCAAGTTTGAAAAAAATCCATCCACTGGTTCTTGAGAAGTTGAAAATGTAAAAAGTGTACGCACGACGGACGACGACGGACGGAAAGCTATTAGAATGGGTCACTTGAGCAAAGCTCAGGTGACCTAAAAATCTTTATATAAATCAAAGGTCAAAAGGACAGCATCCGATTATAGGGTTTAGAAGTAACATGTTATTTCAATGTTGATCATTCCACCTATCAAACGGTTTTATAACTGAGTTATCTCCCTTGACAAACATTTTAAACAGATTTCAGATTTTGTTTGCATTTAGATGTTGCTGACTGCAAACCTTTGACACAAGGTATCAATATGTATAATATTTTAGTAGGAATGTGTAAGATGAAAGATCTTGACTTTTTCTTTCAGGTTTCATGATCCCTGTGCTGGCTGTTTCCCAGTTATACCAGATCCATAACAGTTCCTCACTTGGTCACTTCTCCACGAACATTGTGCTAGCGGCTTCAGAAATTACACTGGTTCCAAGATGTGCATCAAGTTTTTTTCATACAGAGCGATGATAAGCATAATGGTTGACCCTAGGATCATGCCGCTTAACTGGATGAGAAGGTGGGAAAATGGATGTTCACCTTGACGCGTGTCCATGGCGGTTAACTCCGGCAACTACGGAAATAAACAAACAACATCTACTTTAACACCTAAGCTTGGTATTATCACTTTTTTTATGGCTTTTACCAAATAACAGTAGAAAACAGTAAAATTTTTCTGAATAACCCATTTACAATGTACGGTGTACAGCCTTGTCAAACATGATATCATTGGATTATGATGTAAAGCAGTTTTGATGCTGTAATATGTTCGTCGTTGTACTTTAAAAAAAGAAAAATGATTTTCTAATTCAATGCAATATGCATTTCACTTGTATGGCAAAATATATCAATGTCTTTTCAATATTTCTACAGATGACTCACCATATCAACGAGTGCTATGTACAGGAACATGCCCGCCACCGACACGTACACCCAGGTAATGGAGTCCCCGAAATTTCCAATAGCAACACCAATTATCATGCCAACGAATGCGAGGATGGAGGACACACAGTTATACATGACTGCCTGTTTTACCGTCATTCCTGCCCTCAGCAACACAGCAAAATCACCTTGAAACAAAATACACAAAAAAAGTAAGGATCCATAACATTATATAAACATGCTATGTTCAACAGAAAAGAATTATTTCCATAGAAATAAATGTAAACATATTATTGATATTATTTTGATACAATTCATGTCTCCAACGCACAATACTTTTATATTTTGTAAAATTACCAAATACTTAGTAAGTCAGGTTTTCCTTCACGTAATTTTTGTTCTGAGGTTTTGATTTCTGTAACTTTAAACTGCACATTTTTTTGGAAACTGGTTATTGGAAACCTGTTTGAAAAGATTATATTAAATATCTAACCTTCAACACATACAACTATGAAAAATAAACTCAGTACTGTAGACACTACCAATCTGTCAAATTCTAAGACGGTTCAAGGCAGAGATATTTTAACAGAAAATATGGAACGTACCAATTTCATGAGGTAGCTCATGGCAGAAAACGGCCACAGATGTAGTGAAGCCACCAGTTATGGAGTTTGAGAAGGCTGCGCCAATCGCCAACCCGTCACAGACTTTGTGGATTCCATCTCCAAGAATGATCATCCATGCAATGGACGCCACAGAAGTTGGCAGTATGTGGGAGTGTCCATGATGATGATGGGAATGGCTGAGCACGGAACTGGGGTTCTCCTGATCAACCATGTCAAACTGTTTGTCCTTGTCATTGTGGTCCTCATGGTCACGTGAACAATTCTTATGGGATGACTCTGCGAAGTTGGTGAGGGCTAAAAACAGAATAAAACATATTTTCAACATGTATCATAAGATTTT